ACCGAGTGATTACTGATACTAGTACTTCTCCTTCAGATGCTACAAATATACTGACAAAACATACTACACAACACTGTTACTGAATACTGTTGCTACGAGAGAATCATTATTATCTTCGTAGGTATTGACTCGTACCTTCTTTTTCATGTAKACTTTGTTTAAGATCTGATAAACTCGCCAGGTCTTTGAAAACATCGCTCCGAAGAAAAGGCTGTAGCCAATGCCAAGGAAATATACTGTGACCTGTAGTGGAACTTTACTAACTCACTAGTTGTCTTTTACTCATTTTCTCACAAGCTCAACAACATAATTTTGATATGCGTGCATCATGATCGTGGGTGTCGATAATTATCACAGTATCACAATCAGTATCACAAGGGCACTGCGATTTCATTACGGTAATAACACGAGTACAGAGTTATTGTATCACGAAGGCAGTGCGACAGTAAAACTATGGTTTTAAGTGTTTCCTATCACGAGCGCARTACGATTACATCACGATGAAATCACGAGTGCAGTGCGATTCTATCACGAGAGTCAATATAGTATAGATGATACATGGTATCTGTACTCACGGAGCAAAGCGATGGCAGGGTAGTCGAGTTCACAACACGACTGTCCAAAATGAAAACTARGACCGATGTGTAGATTAAAATGGCGCCTATTATCACCACGTGATTGATATTTGGACTTGATAGCTTGATAAAGCTGTAAACATCAATACGATGAATTAAGTTGCGATATTAAGATATGTCTGTTTTAAATGATTTTACCTCACCTGTTAGYACGATATACCACGTTAAATATCAAGAAGAGCAAAGATAATAGAATAGCGCATGACGTAATTGCGATTACAAACCAGAACAGCGGCCAGGGCATGGACATAGTGTTATATACAAAACGCTGACCGTCCAAAGGAGGTGAGCCTACAAAGTACAATAATTTGCCGAACTATCAGCTAAACCGGCCGCCCTGCAGACATTAAAACAACCCTCCACCCCACCCCCACATAACCACATGAAGTAAAATCGTGTCACTTTACCTTGCCACAATAAACTATCATTGTGTAAAAGTCGGTTACTATCTGGATGGTATACTGCAGCTGTTACAAGACTTCCACCTAAAACACGAATATAGAATTTCTGGAATTCTTCTGTGATTTCCTTAAAAAAATGCTGGATGCTTACCTTGAAGTAGTCGAATTCTAATAGGAACAATTCTATCTCCGTTGCTATCAAACTTCACATGTCCCTAAAGTTTAAAGACAGTATATTCATAAATAATCACTGCCGAACAAAATGGAGAAAGGAATCACTGAGTAAACAAGAACAAGGAGAAAGGATAAAACTTGTGAAAAAGGTCTCACCATAAAAAAATGTATTTTTCAAAGATTTATTTAGGGCARACATACACTAATATCACACTTAGACTATGAAATATTTGTTTATCATATATGGACAGCAAGATTCAGACGTTTCAAGGAGATGGATC